CTTAAGACATTGGTGAGAGGGAATTCTCCTAGCGTGCAGAACTTCTCAAGGACTGTGGGAGGGGAGAGATGTTGGAGGATTTAGGGGTTTGGAATGTGAAATACAATGTTGATGCTCTGAAGTGTACATTGTCATCTAAGATACAATAAAAGACACACAAAAAAGGCAATGCCAACAGTATTAAAAAAACAAACACAATTTTAAAAAAGAGAACAGGTACTTAACTCTGGATATGAAATTCCCTTCCCTGCATTCAATGCTTCTGCCCAAACTGCTGTCTGTGGACTTACAGGGTGCCTTCTTGACTGTTGTGGTATCTCACACCGCATTACCTCGAATCAAGGGACTCCACAACAAATAAGTGCAGGCCTAGGCTCCTGGGATTCTCTTACCATGCTCCCCTTCCCCCATTGCCACCAAAAGAAAGATCAGTGCCTCCTCCAGAGGGTGGGTGCACCCCTCACCTGGTCTGAACTTGATTTTCCAACAAGGTTCTCGTCTCATTCCTGTGAAGGGCCTGTTGATTTGGCCCAGCCGTCTCTCAATGTAGAGCATCAAGTGGATACTCCCCCTTCCCCCCCCTTGAAGGAGTGACTTCAGGCAATGTGAGGTCTCCTCTTACAAGATGGTTCTCAAGAAGTGTACCAAAGGTCGGGACAGGGATCATGATATATGAGGGGGTATCCCCCCCCAAAAAAAATTGGAATTTTTTTTTAAAGCTCTGTATTTATATTTTTTTACAAAACAACCTGATCACCTTCAAAGTGCTCTCCAGGACACTTAATACATTGGTCAGATCTGCGAGTCCATTCTTGGAAACATTTTTCAAACTCTTCAGTTTAGATGGCTGATAGCACCTCCCTCATTTTTTTCTTCCCCTCTTCTACATCATCAAATCGCTGTCCTTTCATGTCCCTCTTCATTCACAGAAACAAAAGAAGTCACACGGAGTGCAGTCAGGTAAGGTGCGTGGGGCAAGAGAGACATACTGTTTTTTGCCAAAATCTAGCACACTAAAATGGCTGCGTGAGCAGGTGCTGTCGTGGTAACAAAACCAGTCCCCCATCTGCCACAAATCAGGCCTTTTTTGTCACACACTGTTGCACAATCTTTTCAGAACCTCTAAATAGGAAGCTTGGTTAAGTCTGACCTGGTGGAAAGAACTCCAAATGCACCATCCCTCTCACATCAAAGGAACAAATGAGCATCTCTTGATCTTTGATTTCACTTGACGAGCTTTCTTTTGGGTGAGGTGACGATGGTGTCTTCCGCTGGCTTGATTGAGATCTGCTTTCGGTGTCATAAGAATAGCACCATTTCTCAACACCAGTAAGGACTTCCTGAAGAAAGAAGCTGATCTTGCAAAGCAGGGCATGTTTCCACTTGATGTTCTTTTCCCTGGTCAGTCAGAACCCCAGGCACAAATTTCCCAGCGACTCTTCTCATCCCCAAATCTTGTGTTAAAATTCTCTGAACTGAGCTCCAAGGTGGTCTAGATAACTTCCCCGTCTCTTCAGTGGTCTGTCTTCAGTCTTCCAGAGCAAGTGCAGGAATTTTGTCGGTATTTTTATCCGGGAAGTTGACGGACACCGAGAACGAAGTTTGTAATCAGTTAATGTTTCCCTTTTTCTAAATGAGAAAACCACCCACTCACTTTAATTTTCCCCCTAGCACTGCCCTTGTAAGCTGTGTTCAACATCACAATAGTTTCTGCGGCATTTTTGTTGAGCAGGAAACAAAATTTCACAGTTGCACGCTGTTCTCTGAAATTAGCCATCACAAAAAAATGAGGTTTGAGTTAAACTGCTTTTATGAAAAAACTCTCTGTGACCAGAGAGAACCTTCTCAGGTGATGCCACTGGGTGCACTAACTCAGAGCAGGTTGCTCGAAGCTCCCTTAGTGGGGAGAAGTGTGTGTACGATGAAAACTCTGCCTGGTTGAACTTTTTTTCCGTTTTTTTTTTTTTTTTGGAGGGGGGGGTACCCCCTTGTATAGTTCATGGTCCATAGGTTGATATTACCCCTTTGTTTGGGAATTGGTCTCCAAGATTTGTTTAATTGGTGTTTCTCTGTGGACTCCTGCAATATTCGCCCTTTTGTAATTCACTAACTTTGCTCAACATAAGGTAATGGTCACCAGGTCCTTCCATGTCATGCGGTGTTTCATGCTTTCATTACTGTTTTTTAAGGATGCATAGTGTGTTAGCCCAGGTTGACTAGAGAAACAAATCCAGTGACTCATACACGTATAAGAAAGAGCTTTGTATCAAGAAGTAATTCTATCTCAGGAAAACATCCCAGCCCAGTCCAACTCAAGCCCATAAGTCCAGTACTAGTCCATCAGTCCCTCTTCAGACTCACGAAGCCACATGCATTGATACAGAGTGCAGGAAGATCACAGGCCGTGAGTGCGGTCTTGTGGATCCAATGGTGGTAGATGCATCTCCTGGGCTCTGGCAGCAACCAGGCTCAGCCAGCAGGAAGGTGAAGACAAGAGCAGGTGGGTGGGGGGGCAGGCATTGTCTTCCACTAGATTTTCCCCTATTTGGCTGTGGGCAGGCTACGCGTGCGCACACACGCATACACACACAACCTTTGAATGTTCTTGCTTTTTTGGTGCCTTTAGACAGGGGCTGTGCAGTGCTGTACCTGAGGGATGGAGCATTAGTTTTGTCATGTGGGGGGCTGGAGCTCCCCTAGCTTGTGTGGAGAGTTAGTTTACTCACTATTTGTGCGTGCTCCAGGCTGTCCTGAGGAGCTAGCCCAATGTGGCTCAGTAGGCTGTGCTATCCCTGCCATTAGGGCTGCAAGTGTGTGAGACTGGAGCTCACGTGGCTTGTGCTGAGAGCCAAGCTTGGTGCGTTTCTCTGCCCCTCACCGATCCTGTCGAAGAGCGCCCCTGCAGTTCAGCCAGTCAGCACCCTAGCTAGCTCCAGGGCTGGGGAAGCTCAGTTGGGAGAGTTGGGGAGCTGTGTTCTGCCAGCTTGTGCTGAGGGCCGAGGACAAAGGGAGCTCATCGGCAGGGGTTGCTGTTCTTTGATTTTAATAAAGGTACGACGTCTACTTACCTTTATGCCAAGAACCTTGAGGTCTGAAAGTGCAGGGTCTCTCTGTGTGGCCCCTCTGCGCTGGTCTCCGCAGAGCTCCTCCGGTGTGTGCTCCTTCCTCACCATCTTGCTCCCGGACCCAAGATGGGATTCTCTCCATCATGTACAGCACAGACCATCTGAGAAACTAGTCTTCTCACCGAGAAGCACAGTCTGTAGGATTATAACCCTCCATTCCAAGGTTCCCGCTGTTCCAACTCTCTGGTGGTGAAAAGTCACCTTTGCAAAATTCAAAACCTAGAGATGATGTTAGTCCTCAAATTCGCTGTCAAATGAAAATTCCATCTATCAAAAGCCGGTCAGCTGTTACTTAAAGCCAGCAGGGTCCATTCCTCCACCACTGTCAAAACTTGGGTAAAACCACTGAACAATCTAGAGTCTTGCCAAGGACCTCTCCATTTGTTCTGTACTACCTGCGCTCAGACCAGAGGTCTTGGCTTGTTTAGCTGATCCATGCTTCGTTTTCACGTTCTTGTTTCATTTCCGCTAGATGCCTGTGATGCTCCACCGAAATATGAAACTATGAAGATCAAGGGTGGTGCTAAACTCAATTATGCTCCTGATGAGAGAGTGGAATTTGAATGCCGCTTAGGATACAGGAAAAAAATCCCTTCGAACATGATTTCTATTTGTCATGCTGATAACTCGTGGTCACATCTCGAAGAAGGTTGTACAAGTAAGTAAATAAAGCTTTTGTGGGCTTCTTTGTTCTTCTTATTCTAGAGATTTCCTTCACGCTTTGAGGTGCATATTCCACAATTACAGTGATGATTATTCTCATGAAACAAAGTTTTAGAAAGCAATGTAATTTTTTTCAGGCTTCGGGAAATCTCCAGGGAATCCTTTTCTTAGCAATAGGTTGCCTGGGTAAATGTGAACCTAAATTTGCCCTGGTTAGACTTCAATCCAGAAAATAATGTTCCCTGAAATTCAAAAGAGCAATGTAGAATTTTGATTTTTAAGTCAAATATATTTTGAAAGTGGTATGCAAAGTAAATTTTTTAATTATTTTCTTTTAGAAAAGTCATGTGCCAATCCAGGAGAGCTCATCAATGGCAACATAGACCACAGTGAGGGCTTTGAGTTAGGTGCAACAATCACCTTTTCTTGTGAGGAGGGGTAAGTAAGTTGCTTCTTAGATGAAATAAGGCAAATATTACTTATTCCATTTTTTTTTTGTTTTGCTTCTCTTCTTAGACACATATATTAACTCGATTCCTTTTGCTGACCGTGTGAAAAATTTTTACTTGTATCCAAATAACTCTTGGGATTTTCATGGAGACTAAGGAGATACATAATTAGGAAAAAAAGAAATTGGGTGGAAGGAAAGCAAAATTATGTAGCACTATTTTATCAAATGATAAGCCTGTTGTAAGGAATAAAATCATGGGTTATTTTATGCTTGGCAGTCAAGCGTAACCCTATGTGAAAACACAACTCCCAGAGTTGAAGTAGGGCTTACAGCATAGCAGGTAGAGTTGCCAAGCTTAGAGATGTTCTGATAGGCAGAATAGAACTCTGTATCTAGCCTGTGCTCAGCGTTCCTAGTCTGAAACCAACGTGCTTCGACTCAACCATTACATTAAGGGTGATCTCAGTTGGAAAACCTTCTCTCTGAAACTGAGGTCAAGGAGTCAAGGTTCGCTGACGGAGACACTGAGCACTTGAGCATGACCTTTGCTCTTAAGAGCCTTTTAAATCGTATGTGTCAGATATTTGGCATTTATGAGCAATATGCAGTTACTAGTCGTTAGGGTACCCTACTATAATATAGGAAAAAAACGCAGTGAGCGTGAGAAAAATGAGCTGTGAATCTGTCCTGGTAGTTCCATGTTTATTGTTTAACTCGCTGAACCAAAAAACACAATTCTTTAGTCAACATTGATTGCTCAAAATAGACATTTTGAGCAATTAAAAAACCCCAAAAACATTTAAGACCTAGAATCTTCTCAAGGAAGTTGTAACCTCACTGAGAAATGCAATATATATTGAGCGTTACAAGCAAAATCACATATGAGAAGAGTACAATAAATGGAGTCCAGAAGAAGGGGAGATTGCTATAAATTTAAATCATCAGAGAAGATTTCAGAGTCTAGAGCTCCTCCTGAGTTATCTAAAACTAAAGAGAAATTGTGATGTAAAAGCTCATACATCATCTATGAGCTGGTCTCATCTGCCAGATCCTAATGCAATGAACCCTCACAAAAGCCCATGAGGTAGGTAAGGGTTAGTCCCTTTTTACTAAGGGACTAAAGAAACTAAGGAGAAGGAGTAATAAGTGAATTGTCCAAGCTCAAATAATAGGGAGTTGTGGAGCGGAGACTCAAATCCAGGCAGCCCAGCTGTAGAGCCTGGTCTCCTCCTCTGTTCCTGTTCTTGCTGTGGAGCGCACGGTCAGGGGCGGGGAAGGAGAGTGTACTGTGCCGGCAGGAAACGGCTGGCAGGCCAGACCAGGCACAACAGAGTTAGACAGACAGTTTGTCATTGGCAAAAATGTGTTCAAATGAAGAGACTGTATTAGATGAAATTGTAGATTACATTAGCACTTTATTCAACCGATGGCACTTACGAAAGCTAAGACGACTGCAGTGTGTAAACAAGCACGTACTGTTTACTGCTGAAGTAACTGTATCCCTTTCTTTTCTCATTTAGCTATAACTTAGTGGGTAAAAAAAGCCTCATATGTGAGATTGGTCAAGATTCAGTTAATTGGAACGGCAACCTTCCACAGTGTAACAGTAAGTACATTCTGTTTTAAACTTCACGCTAACAGTTCTGCAGCATTTTGAGCTCTGAACCCCTATCCTCTTTTACATGACAGGGAACTGCCTAGAGCTGTTCTTGACACCCGTTGATACTTATCATATTAGAGTGAAAACTGAGATGTGTTCAAATCATAATTAATGTTTTCATTTCTTAGGAATAGTAAACAATACATTTTGGTATGTGTGACATTTTTATGAAAAATAACTACTTCCTCAAATAGTGTCAATAGTGACTTTTCTAATTTGCAAGTGTCTTCAATATGTGAATTCGAGGATGATATCTGGGTTCTCTTACTTACTACTACATTCAGGCTACTGCAAGGAGTGCTGATGGCATAGTGGCTACATGCTGGGCTGCTAACTGCAAGGTCCAAAGTTCGAAACCACCACTCTGTGAGAGAAAGACAAGGCTTTATATTCCCCTAAAGAGTTACAATCTCAGAAACTCATAGGGGAAGTTGTACCCTGTCCTACAGGATCACTGTGAGTCAGCAGGGAGTTTCTTTGCTCTCAGTCTACTGCAGTATTCATACAGATAGCAGCCTCTGAAAAGTTCCAGAGTGTAGTCAGATCATGGGAATGAGAGAAGACAAAAGACAGTCATTTGGGGTTATTATGATCCACTGATTTAGAGAATAGATATAACTATACATTATAAACTATTTCTTTTTCAACTGAAATTCAGTTCTATTTTTACTTATAAACTCAATTGTCAGGATCTCTTAGGATTACTAGAATAGAATTGTCAGAATCTTTCATGATTACTAGAGTAAAACTAAGCATTGCCTTGTGGATATAAAGAAGTATTTCAGACCTTAAGATAATGAGTTTTATTTTGAAAACTTATTTTAAGTGAAGGTGTTAGATGTGATATATTCATTTTCTGACAGAAACTCTCATCCAAATGATTATTGGCTCCACAACTAACTTGTAGCAATTGTATGTTGATGGTTTTATTGAAAGCAATTCATAAAACTGGACTTGAGGCAGTGGTGGCATAGTGGTTATGTGCTGGGCTGCTAACATCAAGGTCAGCAGTTGGCAAACACCTGCCCCTGTGTGGGAGAAAGACGTACAGTCTCCGAAACCCACAAGGGTAGTGCCACCATGCCCCCTAGGGTCGCCATGAGTCAGAATTGACTCATTGGCAGGGAGAAAGAGGTCTGAACTTAATCTTTTGCCTTTTATCTTCTGTTTCACATATTATATATTCATATATATGTATGAATGATTTCTTCTTTTCCCCCCTTTTTAAGAGGCTATGTGTGAACCACCTCCAGACATAGAAAATGGAGTATACAGCAATGCTGGGAAGGATGTGTATGAGTACGGTGAGGCAGTACGTTACAGCTGCAACCCTGTAAGAGAAGGAGATCAATATTCACTTGTTGGAAAGGAAGTTCTCTCGTGTTCTATGAATGCAGAATGGAGTAGCGAGCCTCCTAAATGTAAAGGTAAAACATTAAGTGTACATCCTTCTTCACTGGAAAATACAGTGAAAAAACATTGCATGCAATTTTACTTACATTGGAAAGCACAGTCAAATTAAATGCTTCCACTCCCTGTAAAATTAGTTACTAACATTAATGTAGATCAAGTAGAGTTGATGATAGCGCTAGTTGAAGGAAACCACCTCACAATATTCTTGGCATTTGAGTTTATACACTGTAAATGATACATATGTATTAGGAGTGTGTGTGTGTGTGTGTGTGTGTGTGTGTGTGTGTGAGAAAGAAGGAAACAAAAAACCCAGCACATACTGTCTTAAAAATAACATTTTATGGAGTGCTACAAGATCTCTGTGAGTTTTAGCTCCTGATAATGGTTA